CGAGCTCAAACAGCTTGAACTTAGTCAAACAGTTTGAGTCTCGACTCGTTCGAGTTAAATTATACTTTGATTATACGAAAGGCGTTTGTTGCCCAAAGATTCTTTCACCGGGTCCACAGTCTTCGCTCAGCTTTGTAATAATATTTGCCTCTGCTTTCTAGGCTTTCGTTTGCAGTCCACAAAATGTATGGCGCTCGTGGAGATGTGGAAGAAGCTGCAGCACACGAATGTGGTGCAGTTGCGTGAGGTGTTTACGACAAAAGCATTTGGTGATAACTGTAAGTGAACACTTCTATCGAGTGTGCCCCATACTCAATTTGTTTTATGTTCCATCCAACAGCCTTAGTATTAGTGTACGACTATTATCCCGGCTCACAGACATTGCTAGCCAAATACTTTACGCCAGCGCCCGAGACCAACGGCTACACAGATCCATTCCAAGGCGAGGCACGCCCCTTCAGGTGAGTTCAAAAATCGAATTCTAATTCCCATTAAATCTAACACTTAATCTATTGCAGTCACAAGAGCAACATGCAGCGCACAAATAACGGACCCTTGCTGCCCGAGTCGACAATTTGGTCGATCATAATGCAGCTGACCGCGGGCCTGAGGGCCATACACCAAGCGGGACTCGCCTGCAAGTGAGTGCAACAACAAGAAACTGCCAAAAATAGATTGTGGCCCTTGTATAAGGAATAAGGGTTATCCAAAAAGTGAAATTTCTCGAGCTATGTATACTAGACGAGAGTCTTCTTTCCTTCTAAAAGGGATTAGTGTTAGCCAAAAAGTAAAATATTGTTAAGTTGTGAAGACTAGACGAGAGTGGGAATACCCCTAGGGTGCTTTCAGTACGAACTATTAGCTATTCGGGTATTTATTGCTTAAATATTAAATTTGGGTATCCAAAAAGTAAACTATTCCCGGGCTGTAAATATTAAACGAGAGTCTTTATGCCAAATTTTGTGTCTCTAGCTCTTATAATACGCGAGTTATGCTCAAAAAACAGAATTTCGTTATCGATTTTTATCGATTTCTTGGAAACGAACTCAGTTATCGATAAAGGGAAACGAAGTTTATCTTACGGGCAACAGATGGCGCTGCCCTTAAAATTATCCCTACCTTTTATGTTCTTTGAGATGGACGACTATAAATACAGACGGACGTACAGACGGACCTGGCAGTTCGACTGGGCTCTTTGTTCCGATCCAACATATATCTATATATACTTTTTGCGGTCTGATGGACTGCCTTTTGCCTCATAAATAGGGACTTTTTATCGGACGTGCAGACAGACAGACCTGGTGAGATCGACTGGGCTTATTGTTCTGATCATGAATATTGTATGTATACTCTATTAGGTTAGAAAATCTTCCTTCTGCCCTTACATACACATGCATAAAAAACTAATATGCCTTTCTAGCCACATCCAAGTGGTTCAGGCTATAAAAACTACAACTAAATCTTAATATAACTAAGTTTTTGGTTAATAGATTAGTTATGAAATAATATTATATACTTACCTGAGTTCCTCTCACATACCTCTCTCTATGCATAAACCAAAACTCTAGCTAATCTCGCTCTGTTTATTTGCCCGCCAGAATACTGGATCCCACAAAGATAATTGTGACAGGGAAACGTGTGCGGTTCAGCTCCTGCTGCATCTCGGATATCACGCAGTTCGATCCCAATGCGGCCAATCCCTTGGCCCTGGTCAACATGCACCAGCAGGTAAATCGTCTATTATATATAGTATATTTGTCTGGTTGGTTGACTTTTTGTTTGCCTGTACCGCAGGACGATCTGACCGCACTGGGACGTCTAGTATTAGCGCTGGCCTGTCGCTGCCTGCAGTCCGTGCAGCGCGACAATGTGCAGTCCAGCATCGACATGGTAACCAGAAACTACTCCACCGATCTACGTAATTTTATTGTGTAAGCAAAGTGTATTTAATATATTGAGAAACAATATAGTTAATGGAACGTCTTTCTAGTTACCTCTTCACCACGAATAACCGCCGCTCTGTTACGGATCTGATGCCCATGATTGGCGCTCGGTTTTATACGCAGCTGGACGCGCTGCAGGCTCAGGTGGATAAGCAGGAGGATGAGCTGGCCAAGGAGATGGAAAACGGTCGTCTATATCGCATTTTGGTTAAACTGAACAGCATCAACGAACGACCCGAGTAGGTCACGACCTCGAAAATCTTTAAGTGCTATTGTTACTCATAAATTCTCTGCTTGGCAGCTTCAACTTGGACTGCACCTGGTCGGAGACTGGTGATAGATATATGCTGAAACTATTCCGTGATTTTCTATTTCATTCCGTCACTGAGGATGGCCGTCCCTGGCTGGATCACGCACACATTGTACAATGCCTCAACAAGCTGGACGCGGGCTCCATCGAGCGCGTAAGTTGTCCAAACATACGGAAGGATATGTGGAACATCGAACGCAGCTGATCTGGCCATGTCCATCCCTCTGTTCATTTGTATCCACCTAAATATAATCACTCTGCTTGGCTTGAATCCCAATTAATCTATACACTTTTCTCGGCAGGTGCAATTGATGTCACGCGATGAGCAATCGGTTTTAATTGTCTCCTATGCTGAGCTCAAGAATTGTCTGGAGAATGCCTTCTCCGAGCTGATGTCGAGTGCGGCCAATTGAGCAACAGCAGGAGCAGGAATAGCACATGCGCAGCTCACCTAGCCACGCCCATAGTTCATGACCACCCGCCCCCATAAGAACAACCCTCCACCCTTCCCCTACTCGACCACAAGCAACTACGATTAAATGGTTTAAGATATAAGAGAAAAACATTCATTATACTAAGACATTTTGGCGCATGCCCTTTAAATAAGTAAATGAAGAATATAAAACTAAAAAAAGAGAAAACAAAACAAAACAAAAAACAAAAACCAACATAAATAAATAATATAATACAAAATTAACTACATACGCAGATTTATATTGTTAAGCCAAGCAAAAAGATAATGATAAAGAGATGAAGAAAAAAACAACAACAACAACAACAAACTGATATCCAATGTTAATGTTAGATCTTAACTAAATTTTAGGCATTTAAACTTACATAAAACAACAACAAAACAACAACAACAACAAATAAACCAATAACAACAAACAGAAAAGGAGCAAAACAACTTTTTAAAAAACGAAATCTCTCCAAAAAAGAAAAATACAACAAAAAAAAAATGTCAAAAAAAAGCAAAATATACAAGAACAAAAAAAAAACGTAAACAAAAAAAACTGTAAAAAAAACTGGCAAAATTTGTTAAAACATAAAAAAAGCGAAACAAAAAAGTACGAAAAAAAGTAAAGCAAAAAGTTGATCTATTTTTACAGAGCTAAACGAAGAAGAAGAGCAGAAAGAAAGTATTTATATGTATTGAAAAGTCTAAACTAAAAAAAAAAAAAATGAAACGAAAACAAAAACTAAAAAAAAAAAACAAACAAAAAACGTAAAATTCAAACGAAAGCAAAATTTGTGCAGTGCGAAAAATGTTGAGCGACAGCAAAAAGTAAAATGGAAAAGTTGAAAGAAAATTCCGGAACCACAAGAGCAACAAAAAATATGTTTTAAGAATTGTCTGAGCGCCTGCCCCTTAAAAAAAAAACCCCTACAGCAACAACAACAAAAAACATTTCTTATTTTTCAACTAATATTTTTATAGCGAAATATTTTTTAAACGAAAGGGATTTAAGCATGAAAACAAAAATGCAATTGCAAATGAAACTATGTATTTGTAAAAAGTATAAAAATTGTTGTAATAAGCAGAAAAGAAGTTGATAAATGAACATTGCAAAGCGACGCACAGCGCGACTTGGCAAGTTGCTCAAAAAACACAATACAAAAAAAACGGAAACGAAATGAAAATGAAACAGAAACGGAAACGGAGCCGGAAATGTCTGGGCCACACACACAAGCAACAAGAGCAGAGGAAACGATAACGTCTAGGCCACACACACACACACACACATACACAGCGTGATATGTATATACATATATACTAATTTTTTGTACATTTACAACTCTTGATGGTCTTCGGTCTTTGAGAATGCAATATTTATAATGGTTTACATATAATTTATCAAACACACACACACACATACACATTTTTAAAGCACGCTCCAAATTTGCAAGTACAACAAAACTTACTTAAAAGTCTGTCTATATATATATATATATATATATATATATATATTATTTTAAAGGCCGCATATCACGTAACCGATCTAAATCCAAAACAACCACAAACAAATGGCTTCAATCACTCAAAAAAAAAAAAAAAAACAAAACCACCAGCAAAAATGTCATAGAAGTTCTGTAATTGATTTATGCCTAAGCCCTGTTAAGAATTATTATTGCCGTATGCTCTCGCTCGATCTTATACACCTTTATATATTATGTATCTACAACTTTACGCATTATTTTTTGTTGTTGCACACATTTTTTTACATCAAACTTCTTGCTTTTGACTTACTTTCTTCTTCCTTGTTTTTCTCGACCCTCAAATACTTTCACGCTTTTCACGCCCCTTTCTGTTTGTGTCAGGCATTAATTGCATACTCGTACTTTTCTTTTTTTAAGTTATTGTGTACTTCAAAGTAAGACTAATTAATTAGTTATAAATTTTATTATTAAAAAAAAAAAAAAAACGAAAGAAAACCTACAAAAACAAAATGTAAAAGAAAACTTTTGAGAAAAACCAATGCAAAAAAATAATAAAATGTTTTAAAAAAAGTTTGAATTCTTTTTTTGACTACCTATAATTCATCTTTCCCTAATTCTGAGTTAAGTAATACTCTATACCAGCGTTGCCAACCGCCTCGAAAGAGTTTCTGATACCCTGTTATAAATAGCTGGAAGACGGTTTCAAACTGCAGCTGTTTCCGTTCAAAACAACCCAATCGATCCATCTATGCCATAACAGGGTCTTTTTTCTCCACCTTTCATCATTAAATAACATTTAGATTTATTAATTAGTTGGGCCGAAATCCTGGCGGTACTGCAATACCAGGAAAAGCCGCGACAGAGGTGGAGCAGGCTCCTAGCACTCCGTCTAATTCCACAAATCAGTTTAATATTTGTTGTCCTTCGATGGAGGATCTATCAGGGTTTCTGATACCCTGTTATAAATAGCTGGACGACTGTTTCAAACTGCAGCTGTTTTCATTCAAAACAACCCAGCATCTAACATACGTCAATCCATCTATGCCATAACAGGGTCTGTCTTCTCCACCTTTCAACATTTCATAACCTCTACATTTATTTTCCAGTTGGGCCGAAATCCTGGCGGTACTGCAATACCAGGCCAACCCGCGACAGAGGTGGAGCAAGCTCCTAGCACTCCGTCTAATTCCAAAAATCAGTTTAACATTTGTTGTCCTCCGATGGAGGATCTATCAGATGTTAAGCTGATAAGAACAGATACTACACTTTGATCTTAGCCATAAGGCCGAGAAGCGATAACCAGACAATGTTATTTCAACCTATACTCATTGCCACCTAGCCAAAACCATTTGAGAATTCTAGTGCAGAAACTTGTCGGGTCATGCGCAAACGCAAGCAATGTTGGTGGTGGTTTTGTCCGCGCCGCAAAGCATGCTTTAAATTGTGTGCTTTCGTTAACCGTCAGTCGCGCTGTAATTCTCAAATGGTTCTGTCGGCGGCTGCATGGTGTCGTCGCTGTTCAGCATTTTCAAATCACTCTGGCTTCTCTTCAGTTGTCGAATAAATCTTTCGCCTTTTACTAAAGATTTCCGTGGAGAGGAGCACTCTAATGAGTCTAAAATAATTTTTGCTAGTGCCCGATTGCAAAATTGGGCCATTAATTAATACATATACAATCAATCAGTTAATAATATAATGTTTTTTAAACATACACACATACATTTTGAATTGTTTATTTTAACTAAATAATTACAACGTATAATACAAATTTTACAGTTAAAACTTGAAAATGTTTAACTTTTGTGTGTCAACATATTTAGAGGGGTATTATGTGTTCGTGTTGCGTTTAAGCGGCAGAATTTGAAGGAATTTGTAATTTTGTTAAAAATTTATAGGGCACTATTTTTTGTATGGGTAATAAATTTTTCATGCTCTTGTTACTTGATCGGTTTTCTTATGTGATTATCACAGTTAAATATATAAAAAGTTCGGCCGCTGCTAAAAATACCCTATTTTTTTTTTTCAAATAAAATTTTCGAACTCGAATCGAACGGCAAATGCGAAAGCTTAGCGGAGGATATGTGTATGTGTGTGTGTTTGTGTTTGTGTTCTGGTTCACTTTTAAACAGTGCTGCCAACTGTCGTTTGAGAAAAGTAACTGAAATCAATGTTTGAATATGGGCGAGTTGGCAACACTGTTTCTAGATTGTGTGCAATCCTTTTTAGCTACATCATATAAACTACTTAAACTTAAGCTTTAATTAGAACTTATATTTAGTACAAAAAATTCAGCTGAACTTGAGAGCAAACTTTTGAGTATTTTTCGCGTTAGTTATTAGGGGCGTGGCGGGGGCGGGCGGGTTTGCGGGCAGCAATAAAGTTTCGTGGCAGTTTCGCATTTCAACTTAAACTAAAGGGGTAAAGGGTGGTAAGGGGGGGGGGGGGCGCATCATTTAATAATGTATGTATGTATTAACAACTTGAAACAGGCCAACAAGGCCCGGACAAAGCTCCTTTAAAAACCCTTTTCGAGCCACATGGGGTCGCTTAGGCAGGCGCCTCTGTTGGCGCGTGGCAGCCCTCCACGTTCTCGGGCCAATCGCAGACGTTCTCCTGCGGATTGAATACCAGGTTGGCCGGGCAGGGCATATGATGCTTGCGCTCGCCCTCGCACATATAGTAATGCGTGCAATCGGCCCAATCCTTGTGGTAGCTAATATGCCCGTCCTCCTCCGCGCAGGTCACATCGTGCGCTGCACACGAGAAGAGTTCAGTTAGCCAAATACATTTGCGATTAATTTCCGTTTTACAACTTACGATCCTTTGTTGTGTAGGCGCCGCGTGGACCGTGCGACTCGTAGGGTCCATCGTATTCCAGCGTAACCTTATAGTCCTTCAGCTCTTCGGTTAGGGCATTCAGCAGCGGATATTTGCCATTGCCGCAGCGTCCCGAGAAGTCATCCATATCAATCGACCAGACCATGATGCCGCCAAAGCCCTGCTCCTTCAGCCATTCCGTCTAAAAAAGCAGAGAATAAATAAAATAAATAAATATTAATGTAGGTATTATTTAAAAACAGATGCATATGCAAAATAACTTGAAAGTTGTTCAAAACGAAATCAAATGAGTTACTTAAATAATGATTAAATTAGAACACAAATGAACGACTAAACGAATAATTAATCAAAATAGGCTCGAGCTAACGAAGACTAGTTCTATGGAACGACTCAATAACTTTTCGATTCGATTTTGCCAAAACTTACCTTGGTTTTCAGTGAACGTTCGTCATCGAAGCCCACCCATTGGTTGCCTCGGTAGGCGAAGGGCACCTGCTGCTCCGAATCCCACACAAGAGTTGTATTGTCCGCTGCCAGGAAGGAGCAGACCTCATAGTAGCTAAGGAAGCCCGCCTCGCTGGTGAACTTGCCGGCCTTGCCGCCGCCCGACGAGGGTGAACCGATATCGAATTGTGTGTCGTTGACCAGCTCAAAGCTGCGTCCATATGTGGGCATGCCGATGAGCAGCTTCTCCTTGGGCGCACCCTGTTTTACCCATTCGCGTGCGCTGTAATCGACAGTCAGTTTCTTCTGGTAGCCGGTGGCCGACTCCAGGGCGAACAGCGGCGAATTGTGGCCCACTGTGCGCTCCCACTGGCCGTGGAAATCGTAGGTCATCACATTGATAAAGTCCAGATATTTGGAGATTTCCGGCACATCGTAGCCGGCGGCAATCGCCTCAAAAGAGGCGGGCACGGCTGCAGTCAGCAGTAGGCGTGGCAGGCCGGAAGATTTGGCCTCACCCTCAAAGGCAACACGCAGCTCGCGCAACAGATTTACATAGGCAACACGATCCTCGGCGCCGCGCGGATACTCCCAGTCGACATCCAGGCCGTTGAATTTGTAATCCCTCAAAAAGTCAATGGCTTCGTAGACGAACTGATTCATGCGGAAGACGTTCGAGGTGAGCTCCTTGAAGGGCGTCGAGCCAAAGGCCCAGCCGCCAATCGCCAGCAGAATTTGCAAATCGGGATTTGTATCCCGCAGGGCAATAACGCTCTCATAGTTCTCGGGATCATCGTCGGTGGCCTCCGTCAGCTTGTAGTCCTGCAGCGTGGCAAAGGCATAGACAATGTGTGTGCACAGCTTGGGATCAATGTTGTCCGGCTCGAATTTGCCAGCTCCCGGCCGCTTGGCCGACCAGCTGGTCAAGTAACAGAAGACCTGAGCGGGACGTGCTGCAGGTAACAAAGGATTATTTAGATGTCATATAGAAAAGTATTCCATTGATGACTTACTGTTCTGTTCGATGGCATTCGCACCCGACTTGATGCGTTGTTTCTTCTGCGTCTGCGGCTTGCGCACCTTCTTGAGAATCTCATCAACCGAAATCTTGATGGGCTCCGGTTTCTGGAATTCGAAATAAATCAGATTAGACTTGGTATAGATTATGGAACCAATCATCATCATGGAACTGGGCTCACGAGAACTGTTTGGTCCGGTGACAACTTGGCTTACCTCTTCTTCGATGTCCTCGAATGTGGCTGCAATGGCTGTCCAGTTGACGTCCTTGGCCTCCTTGCCGCGCGATATGCCCAGCAGCTCCTCACGCATGGCGCCAATCAGCGGATACTTGACATTGCCGCCGCACACCTCGCCCTTGAAGTCGTCCATGTCGATGGTCCAGACCATGGCGCCGCCAAAGCCATTCGTTTTGATCCATTGCATTTTATTGCGAATGGCGCGCTCATCATCAAAGCCCACCCACTGATCACCGTCGACCATGTAGGGCACCTTCATCTCCTCGTCCCAGACGTAAACGGCGCCATTGAGCAGCATCTCGCAGATCTCGTAGTAGGCCAGAAAGCCGCTCTCCTTGGTATAGACGCCCTCGCGTCCACCGCCCGTGGCGGGCGCATTCGGTCCATGCTTATCCGTATTGGCCAGCGTAAAGGAGCGTCCATATGTGGGCATGCCAATGATTAGCTTCTCCTTGGGTGCGCCCATTTTGACCCACAGATTGGCGGCATTATCCACCGACAGCTGCTTGCGCCACTCCGAATCCGACGAAGGGGCATAGCTACAAACAGAGAGAGAGAGAGAGAGAGAGAGCTTTGTTAGAGACTAGAAAATATAAAGGCCAATATAATTATTCCCTAATGGAAGGGGGTTAAGCATTGATCCATCTTGGAGCTGGATACCTTCAATTCGCCTACTTACAGTGGTGCATTGTGTCCCGTTTCGCGTTCCCATTTGCCGTGGAAATCGTAGGCCATCAGATTGATAAAGTCCAGATAGCTGGCAATGGCGGGCACATCGTAGCCGCCGCGCACATTGTCCGGACCGACGGGCACAGCCGCGGAGAGCAGGAGACGTGGCTGCTTTAGCTCCTGGGCCTCGGCATCGAATGCCTCGCGCAGCTCCTTTAGCAACAGCACAAAGTTCTTCTTGTCATCGCTGCCCTTGGGGTACTCCCAATCCATGTCCAGGCCATCGAAGCCGCGCTTACGCAGAAAGGGTATAGCCGAATAGACAAACGTTTGGCGCGTGTAGCGTGTGGCCGACATATCCTTGAACTTCTGTGTGCCAAAAGACCAGCCACCAATGGCGAGCAAAATCTGTGAAATAATTCAATAATAACAAAATTAATAAAAATACAAAAAATAGGTATATTACTATGTGATTCGAACCAGCGACCTCTCCCTTGCTGATAAGACGTCAGCTTCCCAGGCTGCATGTCGATGAGTCAGTCAATCAATCAATCAATCAGTCGGTCGGTCAGTCAGTCATTTAAACGGTCAGTCGGGCAATCAGTCAGTCAAGAAAAGCTAGTCTATTTATATAGACTAGATACCGACTAATAATCCAGCTTACCTTCAGCTTGGGATTGGCCTTGCGCAGGTTCATCATGCGCTCGTAGAGTCCAGGCACATTATCCTTGGTCTCATCGTTCGATTCATAGGAGCTCAGCTTGCCCTTCTTCAGCCAGCCGAAGGCAAAGATAATGTGCGTGCACAGATCGGCGGGTATATCCTCTGGCACAAACTTGCCAATTTTTACACGATATTGCGACCAGTTCGTATAGTAGCACACAATCTTTGGCGTTCCATCGTCCACCTTTGTCTTCTTGCCCTTCAGCGATGAGCCGCTGGCCACGAGCGCGGTGCCGCCGGCAGCCGCAGCTGCTGCTGCAGCTGCTCCACCGCGCAGCTTGGACTTGGAGCGCAGACGCGTTCGGGTCACGCGTGTGGTCGAGGCGGGCTCCTGATCGATGCGCTTCTCAGCGACGGGCGCTGCCGT